GAAAAACACTTAAAGATGTTGATGATTTTAAAACTTCATTTTATTTTTGATTTTTATGAAAAAAATGTAATTTGTCTCGGAAAACATGATGAAAATGATCTCATTTTTTTCCTGAGTACAAAATAAGAGAAAAAGACTTCGGAAAAATACTCATTAACATCAAAAGGTGGAAATTAGAGAAAAAGATCTCGATTTTTTTTACATATATGCGCATATCATTATATAGAGGCCCGTGTATATGATGAATAGAATAATAAAAATGATTCATCTGATGACATCGTATATGTTTGCAGGCGAATGACGAAGAAGCATAATTTACAAAGTCTCTTTTTATTTTGTGTAATCTAATATATACATAAATGTTCTTTGCAATAACATGTTACTTCCCATATTCTGTTCGTGTACATGTAATCTAAAATAATTTTGTGTATTCATTCAATAAATCTTATGATAATCTGGGAAGTTTGAACAACTCTACAGTTAATCAGAAAAAGAAATAACAGAAGACCAAGAAAAAAAAGTGAAATATCGATTGTCGAAGGACTGGTTTTTTATTAATATTTTCTTAAATATTTTTTATTAGATATTAATACAACATTATTAATGTGTTTCTTTATTATTCTCTACTCTATTTATTAGTATACACATAAACTAAGACACTAGGCTTCCGTTTTCTGTTTAACCTGTTCAGCCGAGATCTTTTTCTCTTATTTTGTACTTGGAAAAAAACAAGATCATTTTCATTATTTTTTTGTATTAGTTAAACATTCCGAGATCATTTTCCTCATTTTTCCGAGATTACTTCAGCGTCGTCCAATTTTTATGTTTCATTTGATCCAAATTGGATGGATTCTGAAGTGACTTACAGATATGTGCAGTCAACTTTAAATCAGAATACAGAAGATTCATAATCAGCTTATAATACTTTCTTTCTTCTTTTTCATGTTTGATATTATTTACATGAATAGAGCCAAAACAGTGTCATATGACTAAAGATTTTGATGTTACTTTTGGTTGGATATTTTTCTAATGTCGAATCTTATTGAAGAAAAACTCTGGTCTAAGTCCGAGACTACAAAAATGTGGATTTGCAGCTTTCAATCCATTGAGTGAGCTGAATAGAATAACTATTATATTTTCCATCGGCAATATTTTTTAATTGAACTAAACTAATCCTAATATTTTAATTTGTTCATCAATATTTGTTTAACCAATTCGTTCGTATTGAAAATTTTTCGAACTTTCTCGAAAAAATTCACATGCATAAAAATATTACATTTAAATTGGTTTATCAATATATTCAAATCTAAAACATTTTTGTTAAATAATTTTTTGTCTTATTAGATCAAATATCATTTTAAACTAGACAATTGAATTAATATGAATGAATAAATTAAAGTTATATCCATTGTAAATTATTGGACTAGGTATTTTCTACCAGTTTGACGAGAAACTCATCTAAGTCCTGATATATCTCATTCGAGATATAGAAGATATAACACTATGCATGCCATTTTGTGATATTTATCCCTTTAAAATACAGGAAAATTATCTGCTATGTCACTGTGTACTCATTACCTCTTATATCTCAGCATTAGTCAATTACATCAGAACTTAAATAAGTCTTTAGGAAAATTGCCATAAAAAACATCAGATGAATTATCAAATTAAATCTAAAGATATTGTAAAAGAAAAAGATTTTATTTATTCTATTCAGATGTTGACTGTTTTATGAAACATGATCCAAAAATGAATGTTGAAGTCTAAAGGTAGAAATTTGGACTATTCTCCCCACAGACTGTGATACACATTGTTCATATATCAATAACATCTCGTTCTAATATATTACACATCTTCTTATTGTATTTTTGGAGGATTAAATAAAATAATACGCCCAAGATAGATAGAATAAAGCAATCTCTCTGTAATTAGCACCAACAGCTACATTATGTTTGATATTTTAATTCTACAGGTATTATGCTAACAGGTTTTTTTTTATTATCATTCATATTTTTAATGAAATTCTAATTCCTTCTCCGATCTGTACATTCAATTAGTTAATTAAGATTTAATCAACATCAATACATCGTACTGGAACATATACTATTACTAGACATGATAATAATTGTTTTTTTACATAACTAACTGCAAAAAATTGATGAATATTTAATTCAAAGAATTTAATATTTTTAATCAATATGACAACGATATGATTTATTGATATTAAAAATTTATTGGTGAATATAAATTATTTATTTTTTATTATACTAATTGAATGATTTATCATGTTTAGTATAGAAATTTAAAAAAAAAGCAAACTTTGGATAAAGATGTTTCTTTAACCTCAATCGTAATGACAATGGCCTAAACTAATTTTCTCTAAATACGTAGCATAACTAATTGTATTAGAATTAAGCAGTAATACCAACGATCGCATTAAAACTTGGCTACTTAAACTAGAAGAAATATTTGAACATTTACTCAAGAAATAATGCTACCTTTGTTATAAAAGTGCTCTTGAAGTTTTCCCTCTCTTGAGCAGAACAAATTCAAAGATTACTCAAATTACAACGTTACTTTGAAAGAATATTTAACATAGTTGATTATCTTTAATCAAACTAAAGAGAATATTAATTAAAAAAGCATCTCACTATTCATTTAATCGTTACAGTAATAAGCAAAAAGTAAAATAAAAAATATAAAACAATAGATATTCAATCTTCTTAAATACAATTGAAAATATGAATCTAAATTTTACATTATATTTTTTCATATTTTCATTAAAAGAAAAAAAAACCCAATATATAAATAAATCACTTTTATGTTGCACGTAATGCGAAATAATAAAAGAGTTCATAGATATTTTTTGTAGATTCTTCAATTATTTACAATGCTGCTCGAAATTGATTGTACACGTGTTATATTTTAAAAAAATGCCACATTCACTATTAAGACTTCTGGATTCTATTTATTTAAATAAGAAAAACTAGTTTTAGCATGAAAAAATGTATAGATGTTTGAATATATTAACAAACATAGGATCGGTCTGGTTCGGTTCCAAAAAAAAAAACACAAACCGATCCCATCTGGGATATATAAGTAACTTAATAATGAATAAAAAAAACAAGGAATATGGAATATAAATTTTAGCTGTACAAGTTTGAAAATTTCCACGTTTTGTTATCTACAATTATCATCAACGAAGATGACAAAACATTAATAAAACTTTAGTATCTTGATAGAAAAGCAGTAAGAAAAAGTTGTTAATCATTATATGATTATATATTTTTTTTATACGTTATAAAATATAGACTTTTGTCTCATGGTTATCTATCCTTTTCGTTTTTTTTTAAATACTTTTCTATATATACTAAAGTTTTATTAATGGACAATATAAATGTTGTAAAACTAAAATTTATATTGTATATTTTTTCGCTTTCTTTTTTTCATTCATTATAAAAAATTAGTTTTAATTACAAAATATCAATGAATTTTTCGATTAACAAAGAGAAAATATCAATAGATTACAATATTGTGAAAAGATTAAGGAGTGTTCCAGAAGTTCTGAAATAATTTTCAAATGAATCATTCATACATTTAATAAAAGCAAACTTTTTGAAATTTTGGCTGATTAGGATATCTAATTAATACTGACTAACTGCATAGTTTCACGTCCATAGCTTTTTCTATGAATGAGAATCTGTATCAATACTATCATGTACCTTTGTTTTTCAATTTTTATATATTCATTTCTAAAAGCATTACCAGACAGTCTTCACTTCCTCTACAGGTCTAATCAAAAGGACTGAGCCTACATATAAGTTTTTGCTGGTAACGTCACTAGTCCTGATCAATAACTAATTTTAATCGTGCTGATATTTTATCTATCATTTTTTGATATAAGAAACATTGAATTTGTTCCATTCTTTTTTCATGTCTTTTTTTTTCAGTGGTTCAATATGACTGCGTTTTTGTCTTTGACATTTTTCTTTTAATGTACCCTAGATAGTTTCTATATGGCCAACGTAGACTAGTTTGGTAGCATATTTTATTAATTAAATTTGATTAATAAAAAACATGTTTAACGACATCCAAAGTTAGCCGTATCCTTTGTTTATGATCTTGATCGTCCTGAAAAATAATATTTCGCAAATTGCCTAACTTTTTATCTACTTTTTTCTACTACTATAGTTCAAATGAATTTTGCATATCTGTCACTAATAACATACATTTTCTTATGAAGATTACTATCTTATAGTCTGATGAGCTCTAAGCATCCATAGATAAAAATTGAATTGTTTAGGAAATTTATTTCATTTAAATGGAAACTTGATAAAATAGTACATGATAGTGTTGTTACAATTTCTCATTCATAGTAAAAGCCATTGACCTTAAACTTTATATTTTTTCAGTATTAAGTAAGTACACTAATCTGCTAAAGTATCAAAGAGTCTATTTTTGTTAAATGCGTGAACGATGCATTTTAAAATTGCTTCAAAGTGGCTGAAACATTCTTTATATATTGAATATGATTGAAAGTACATTAGTATAAAGGTTTAAAATATTATAAATGAAACATTTTCAATAGAAAAAAAAAAGAAACAGATTTTCTATTATTATTCTTTTCTTGTGTTCATGCCATTTAGAAAATTGCTTGTATTATTTATTAACATCGCGTGTTTTCATGTGTAAATGAACATTTGTTAAATTATTTATTTAGAAAATAAAATATAAGAATATTTTTCATTTATTTGCTTGATTATTGTCAGAATCAATTTTATTAAGAACCATAGATTTCTTCATTATTAACATATCTGTTCTTATTTTTCAAAACTTCATAAAAAAAAACAATGTAAATGAAGAGAAAAATAAAGACACATCAATATTAGTTGTCTAACAAAATAATGAACTTATAAATATTGCTTATGTACCAAAAAACTTTAATATTTACTGTCATTAGGAATAAGAAGAATTTCTCTTTTTTGATTAACTTTTTTATGTCAATTATGTTGTTGGCTGTTGGTATCTGATACAATGATAACGTCTGTTGGTTGGGTTATTGTATTCTTGCTTTTAATCGCATGTTCAATATATGTTAAAAATTTCTGCCAAGCTCGTTCATGTTCATGTGTAAAATCATAGTTGAACGTTTTCAAATGTTCTCGGACAGTCTCCAACATACATTTTTTCATCGTCTTTCAAGTAACGAAAAAAAAAAATTCGAAGGAACTTAATCAAAGTTTTTGAATTTAATAAAAAAAAGCCTACCATGAACGATTCATATTCAACGAGGAAAATATTCTCTCGAAGATCAAGAGACTGAAGATCTTTTTTTAAATGATTTTCATTAGTAATAGCTGACATAAGTTTCTCAAGTATTGATATAAGTTGAATACTATGTTCACGTAATCCAATGCGCCAGCTTAAATCAGTTCTTAAACATGATTCATTTTGACCATAATCATAATTATTTCCTTCAACTTGAATTTTTGATATCCAAAATTGACGAAGTGATGGACTTCGATTAATGGTTCTAAATATATCAAATATTATTATTTATGTATTTTTATTATCAATTTTCTTTACTTTATAAGAACATCTTGAGCAAATTTATGGAGACTATGAGTTTTAATAATATTCCATGATTGTATTAAATATAAAATATCAATTTTATTAAGAATGTCTTCACTGCTAACTGTGTTTATTGATGAAAAATAACAACCCATAGATATACTCTGTTAACTTGATATGAGGTAAAAATGACGTTTACTGTAAGTTTTTTATTTTTTTCTAACGTTGTCATTCAAGATGCAATGTCGTATTAATAAAATTACTTCCTTTTTCTTTTCTTTTTTTCTTGGCCAAAGTTTTCTGCACTCATGACTATTAATGCTTGAAGATCTTCTATTCTTAGTGTTAAATTCTTGTTAATTTTGACATATCTCTAGTCTCTTATTTCATATTTAGACAAAATTGCCTTTTATCTCATAAATTATAAAGTAACATAAAAGAAAAAAGTGTAACTATTTCAATATTATAGGAAAGAAAATATGTTCTAGTAATCTGGAAATTAACATAGTTATTGAATTACTTCTTGATAATATTTTTGGTAATAGACGAATTGTCAAAACACATAAAATGCTTCTTATTTAAATGATATACATGAGTGATTGCGGTCAGCAATGAGTCTAGGATTTTAGTAAATGGCATGCTAAAGCAGGGAGCGAGACAAGCATGATTAAAAACTATATTTTAAAATTCATGAGAGATATTATTCGACTCATTTTTGAGTTATTTTGTTCAGAAAAACTGAAAACAATTTTAAAACAGCAGAATTATCGCTTTTCTTTGTAATTTACTATTGCCTTTAATGACAACAAAAATAATCAGCATCATAAATTTCCTTTTATTAGTGTACTACATCATGATTGACTATTTTCGAATGCTAAGTATGTAGAATAAGTTTATGATGTTTTCAAATCATATGAATTTCATTCGATATGTTTTGTTACTATAAAACGAGTTGTCAAACTTGAAGGTATTAAGTCACATAAATGAAAAAACTCATCTGATAATGATCGTGATCAGCAGTTATCGTGATGAGGGCTGAACACTACTTTCCAAACGCGGGAAAATGTTCTATTTCTAGCAGAAATGCTTTGCCACCGAAAAAGTCAAGCAGGAACGTTTTTTTTTAGAGAACAACATCTATTACTTCAGATTATTCACGCCATAGAAAATGGAATATTTACAAGGGAGAAATCATTCATGCATTTCTATCTTGATAAACAGAAGCCAAAAAGATTTCAGAAAATTTCAATCATATTGCTTTTTCACTCAAGCAAGAAATTCTAGTAGTAATAGATTTTTCTCAGGAGAAATGTAAATTATTCAAGTAGGAATCATTTCGAGGAGGACGTATCACCTTAAGCATGTCTGTAGAGGAGTTGACGATCTTCTGGTAACGCACGTAGATGGAACGCAAGCTCTTCTTTTTTTAAGCGAAACTGAACCATATGTAAAAGAGACTCGATATCTTCTAGCGGAAACTGAGCACATTGTAATATCCGTCTGGTTTTACTAGCACTGCAATTGTATGCGGCTATTCTCTTCCATTCATCTGATTCTCTCTCATGAAACATTCTCTTTCTGTTAGAATTTTTCCTTTTCTGTACTTTTTTCGTTAGGTATAGTCCAACCATGTTGTCCATCATTGATAGACTTTTTTTTTCTGCAATTGAAATAAACGTACAAGAATAGTGAGTGATAGATATACGTTTATTACTCGATATAGAAAGCGATAATATTTGATAAGTGGCGTATGTCTGAACATTCTTACTTGTTTTCTTTTTGATAACCGAGAAAATTCCATTTGATATTTAGTTAATTTTTTCTGAATATCATAATAAATAGTATAGTAAACGAAATAAATTTCTAGTAAACTTAAGGAATTCAAGATTTACATATACTAGGATAGTTTTCAGCAGGATGCTCGAAAAAAGGGATCCTACTGTCAATATCAGGGCTGCCAGATCGAAAATTCAAAAGTCGGAAAAAAATCGGAAAGTGGTTTTGTAATGCTGAAATAGCTGATTTGTTTTTCCTGTAGGATAGCATGCTTGATCCTGTTTCTGTTTATTTTTTCCATACACTATCTGAAAAGATATTTCATAGTCGAAAAGAGAAAAAACGAATTTATATATATAGTTCAATCATAATGAGCAAAACTACACAAGTCATTTAGTCTCAAACACGTTGTTTTTTCTAAAAGTTTAGAACAAAGTTCATATAAAAATAGAATCAAAAATATAAGCTCATATATACACATACATCTCATGAAATTTGTATAAAAGAACTAAAATTTATTCAGTATCACGATGTTTTGTTTTTGTTCATATTTTTCATTAGCTCGAATTCTCTTCAATACATCAAATTCAGATAAAATATATTCATAACAATGTTCGCAAGGATAATCAGAATTTATTCTGATTTTCAATTCTGCAGCAACTAATTCGACATCCATATGATTACGATGGTCAGGCCATAAATGTCTCATATGACTAAGGGTGTAAATGTGGGTGTTTCTAAAGAACAGGCAAACATTTACCCCCACCCCACATTCATCTACACCCAGAAGGATGGATTTTCACAGTATTCAAGTGTCTCTGTTATTAAGTTTATGGCAGTGCACCGCTCAGTAATTATAGAAAAACAAAGATGCCGCGTTAAATGAGTAATAGTGAGTTATCATTAAAGTATTTTGAAATATTCAAAAAGTCTAAATTTAGAAAAAATTTCAAAAATCAGAAAATCGGAAAGTGATCGAAATAATCTTCAAAAATCGGAACGTCGGAAAGCCGTCAGAAAAAAGCTCAAAAATCGAAGTTTCGCCTGCCATATCGGAAGATCTGGCAAGTCTAGTAAGGATGTAACAGGGTCTTGGTCGTATACTCTATACTGAATTGTCTCAGCACATTAGTACTGACTATGTACTCGTTCGGACACTTATCCTGTTCCTATAGCATCACATGAAACATTTTTCAGCAAATTGATCACATAGAAGCACCCTTCAGTCAAGTGTCAAGAACTACCCAAAAGTTTCTATTACGTACTGATGGCACAGTGCCCTTTCAGATATCTTGTACCCAGTACATTCACTAAGACTTGAGAATAAGAAGTAATATACCATTTAAAGCCTATCTTTCTATCAGAACGAACAGAATATCTTTCAATAATGATGATTTCAATTTTTGATAGAAGTCTCTTCATATGGAGATATATAAAAAGAAACAATTAATATTTTAAAATACAAAAAAAAATGTATTCAAATATTTAAACATGTTATATAAAAATAAAAATCACCAATCTAATATATCGACAAGATCATCTTTATCTTCTTTCGAAAGATAAAATCGACTATACCAACGACGCATTTTTAAAATAGGACCATCATTTTTCACAAGACATGGTGCACGTTTATGTATCTAAATAAAAAGACAAAAAAAAAAAACGACTTTCTTTTTTTGCAAATAATCAAAAAAAGAAAAAACGTTTTTTTTATTTACTTTATTTTCCCAAATATCAATATCTCTTTGCCATTGTGCAATCCAATTGCCCATAACATACCAACTTAATAATCTCGGTATTTTTCTTTCTACATAAGCTCGAAATTCAACATCTAATTCTGTATAATTCGTTGGTGTATGTGTATGAAATAAATAAATTCGTCCAAAATTTCCATCAAAACGAAATAATGTTATTCCACCAGGTCCATAAAATGTTATTGATGCATCAATTTTTGTTGATTCATAATGTTTACCAAAAATTTTTAACATAGCTGTATCATAAAAATAAGCAATATGAGATTGTGTGTCAAATTCTAGTGATGCTGTATGATGAACAAATATTAATGGTACATGAATTTTTGTCCATGGAATAAACATTTGTCCATGTAATGGTTGAAAATGTTGAACATCAGCAGCATTTTCAGCAAATTCTTGTAAATGCATTTGAATATTTGGATAACTATAACAACCACGAAATTCAAAACGATTAGTAAGTAATTCATCTATACAAATAGCATCATAATGAGGTGATTCATTTAAAGGATGATACCAAATCATAATCATTCCATGACGTTCAACACATGGATATGAATGCATTTTAGCCTAAGATAATGCATAATTTATTTTCTCAACAACAAAAAAAATAATCATCTTTACTTTATCTGGTATTTTTCCATCGATATATGGAATTTTTATACAACGACCATCTTTTCCATTATATTCCCATAAATGAAAAGGACATTGTATACAATTTGTACCAGGTAAAACTCGTCCGCCAAAAGCTAAATGAGCACCCATATGCATACAAAATGCTTCTAGAACATAAACTTGACTATGTTCATCATCTGATCGAAAAATAACCATTTCTCGACCAACTGCAAAACCTTGTTTAACTTGACCTCGCTTAGGTATATCTTCAGAATTACAAATACGATACCAACCACATGGATATTGACGAGGATATGTTAAACTTCGATCAACACCTCGACGAGTTTTTCGAACTTGTGTTTTTGCTTTATTTGATCGACGAATATATAGATAAATTAGAATAATAATCGCCAGAAATAACCACCAAGTGGAGGCTAGATTTTCCATAATTGAAAACATATGAAGTCTTTCTAAAATGATTCTTTAATAAAACGTCTAGCAAAATATAATTTTACATATTATTAAGCACAAATTTCATATTGGAATATATGTACTCAGATTTATCTTGATGTACCCAACATAATTATTTTCAAAATCGTATCTAATCTCTTCGACTTCTTTTTTTTTCAAAACAAATAAATCGAAATTGTTGATCGTTACCTGCGTCAATTAAATCGTATCAACAATTTGTTCTTTTCAAAATTTACTGTTGTTGTTATTAGAATGGATTATCAATTATTGTACACTTATGTAATAAAAAAAACAATGAATCAAATGGAAAGATAAATCTATTTTTTTCTTTTTGTTCTACATTAAAATTTTGACGAATCAAAAATAATAGAAAAAGTATTGTTCGATAATGTATTGACTTTAATGATAATATAAGTAAATATATCTTAATGAAACAAAGCCCACCTTTTATTCTCTATCAATATTTGCTTACCTCATTGTGTTTCTTCATAATCTAATAGTTTATTTATATGAGTGTGACCAACTAACATCACACCTCAAGATACAAGATAGGAAATAATATTATTTTAGGTAGGAGTATATTATGAATTTTACACCAAATGAAAACTGATCAAAAATGGGATTTATTGATACTAAATAGTGAAGGTTTTGTGAACTTTATAATGTCGAACTTGAGAAATTTTATACATTTTTGGCATAGAAAACTAAGGTGCCAGTAATTCAAAGATGAAGTAAAATTTTTATTTCTTGAATATATTTACATGATTCGATAGAATTCATCGAGCTTCACAAAATTGTATGTATTAAAATTTTTTTATGCCATTTTTTTAAGATGAAAAATTGAAAAGAGTACTTGGAAAATCTTAAAAAATTCGTATTTTCTATATGGAAGAAAAACATCAGATTTTTTCACAAAATTAGCTTTTTTCATTATTTTTGTTATCTCACATATTTCGAAATACACTTATTCGATTCATTATTCCACACTGCATCGATTGAATATATTTAGGAACATGTGAGATAGTAAAAATAATGAAAAAAAGCTAATTTTGTGAAAAAATCTGCTGTTTTTTCTTCCATATAGAAAATACGATTTTTTTAAGGTTTTTCAAACACTCTTATCAATTTTTCATCTTAAAAAAATGGCATAAAAATTTTTTTAATACATACAGTTTTGTGAAGCTCGACGAACTCTGTCGAATCATGCAAAAATATTCAAGAAATAAAAATTTTATTTCATCTTTGAATTACTGGCACCTTAGTTTTCTATGCCAAAAATGTATAAAATTTCTCAAAATTTCTCAAGTTCGACATTATAAAATTCACAAAATCTTCACTATTTAGTACCAATAAAACCCATTTTTGACCAGTTTTCATTTGGTATAAAATTCATGATATACTCCTGCCTAAGATAATATTATTTTCGGTCTTGTATCTTGATGTGTTATGTCGGTTGGCCACGTCCATAGGTGTGCTACCTTTTTTCGGCATATTCTTACATTCAAACATCATGATATAAAAATATCTCATTTTCTTTGACATATATATTTATCATAAACGTCAATGCATGGTTTTTTATATATAAAGTTCTGCTTATCTTTAGCATATGACATATTAATCGTAAAATATTTTGCATCAACTAGTGTTAAATTTTAATTGATTCATGTTTATGTGGTAGTTTATAAAAGACAGAATATGACATAGTTTTTGAAGAATAAAGAGGTTGATGTAGCTTACATAATATACTAAACAATTGTTTTTTTCAACCATGCTTGTGAGACGAAGATAACGAGTATGATCTTCAACCTATAGATAAACAGCATATTGTGACCTACTTTTGTATTTCATAATGAAGTAGACCCCTCCCGTATTAGAAGCCCTCAGAGAACGGTCGATATGAAAGATGTATTAGAAGCCCAGGGCTTGTATTACATCCAAGGGTTTTCAAAGTTTTTTCAAAGTCGGTCTTCCTCTCAGCACTGATAGTTTACATTGGCAAGCACTCTGCAAGTGAAAAAGTGTACTAGAAAACGCCTCACATATTGCTTGTCGATGGTCTCAACGATGAAGAAAACGTAGGTGTGGGTGTGGGTGGCTAGCGGTGAGGCTGTGGGTATAGATCAAAAGAAGATAAACATCCATACCGACCCACCAACACTCAAACTCACAACTACAATCATATCCACATCCACACACCCACAACATTAAACTTCTTTTGGAAGAAGTAGTCTAATTATGTATATTTATACATGAATTTTTTCACTGCATTCTTTTTTTTGTAATTTATTACATAAAATGGTATGTTTTTTATATATTTATGGCATAGAATAATGTTTTTTTGTATATTTATGACGTAGAATAATGTTTTTTTGCATATTTATATTAAATTTCACAGAGTATTGTAAGATTATTTGAACTTACCATAAATATATAGTTAAAATGATTGAAACAATGACTTCATTATATACTTTTCAAAATTTCTGTACGAAAGTCATATTAGTAACCCATCCCATAATGGAAGTTCCCTTCAAAAACTTTGAACAATGGACAGTTTAGAAGCCCACGGGGGGTTCTATTGTGGGAGGGGGTTTACACTATTTTATTCTTGCTGAAAATTTTTGTCAATCATTAAAATTAAATGTAAAATATCATTAGTTTTTTTATGATGCTTGATAATGTTACACTTGGAAGTGCTTACATGATGATTGAAAAAGAGATGAAGGTATTCAAGCTGAAAGTGGCATCAATTATGTAAAACATTCCATGATATAACATTAACATGATTTTGACAACTTTGCATATACACTTATCTGGGTACGAAGGGATGAATTAAAAACGGGTATCATTTACTATCATAAAGATGAAGAAGAGGTACACAGGTAAGAGAAAGAACAGAGCCAAAAAAGTAAAAAGGAGAGAGATTATGCCAGTGAAGAGAAGAAAAAGAGACAGTAAAGAAAAACAAGGAGGAACAGAAAGAATGAGCGAGAGAGATGTAATACATTGTATCCGTTTTCCTCCTATTAATTCGTTTCTACAACAAACGACCACTTTAAAAGATACGATTTGTCTCCGTCTATCACGATTGTTTAACACAACGACGTCTACGAAAAAAATGACCAAGATGATCGTTTTCTCTTTTGTAGAAATCATCTCAAACAAAAACGTCATTATAAAAAGTGAGGATCCAAGATCGGTCAAATGTATAGTTTTCAATCTTCTTTGAATATATATGTTTTTAACGTAAAAATCTAGAGAATGCTCAGAGATAGTAGTACCAAGATTGTATGCAGAGACGAAGTGACAGAGATACACCAGCCGTAGCCCTACGCGAAATATTTTTAGCAATATCTGTTGCTGAGTCTTTGGAAGTAAAGGATGAAACGAAAATAACCAAGCGAAACATGAAAAATTATACTCAAAGGAACATTGACAAAGCACCTTCGAAGATACACTACGTCCAAATTTTGGCCATTCCAGTTTTTCTAGAGATCTCTGAATATTTTCTACATACTTGTCGACTGCAGGTTTCAGGGATAGTCTGTCCGTTCCTGTGAATCCTAAATACTTAAATTCTTTAATCAATTCAATATTTTTTCCGTTCATTTTAATGTTAAGTTTTGATCTCCTTAGTTGTGTATGAACTAGCTGTGCGACGCTTTTGAATATATTTATAGGTTACTTACAGTTTTTGAAGCACGTATACATTTGATTACAAATTCGGGTACCTTTCTTTTCCAGATACTGAATCATTGAAGTCAATTTTTTCATTATAAGGGATATAATCAATACGTTCAGATCATTAGCAAAAAGATGCTAAGAATGAGCCCCCAAACAATTTATTAGATCACAGTGAAACACAATGAACAAGTACAGATTGAGATTACTTCCCAGTGGAAGTCCTATATTTACATCGAAAACATTCGATGTTTTTTCACCAAACGTTACATAGGTTTTCCTATCTTTTAATAAGTTTTCTATCGTTTTCAATAGCTCAAGTGGCATACCGCATTTCCATAGTTTGAACAAAAGGGCGGCATGCCATACTCTGTCATATGCCTTTTGATAGTCGACATATATAGTAAGTGTTCAAAAGTTTGCAACCATATTATTTTTCACTTCCTAATAAATCGATAGTACTCTAGTGAGTAAAAGACAGTTTGAACGAAATCCTGACTGCTCTTAAGGAACTAAATGATTACTTTCGGCTCATTGTCTAACTCTTTAAAGCAGAATTTTTTCGAAGAGTTTTGAATGTTTAACTAATAAAAACATTGGCCTGATTTCAACTTATTTAAGATTACTATCTTTGCTAGTTTTCATTCGTCAGGAAACTGACATTCGCTCAACCATGTATTAAAGCATTTTGCCAAGTAGCTAATATAACTCGACAAAAGTTTTTTTTTAATCATGAATTTTGACACTAAGTCAAATCCTGCTGATTGTAAATTATCATTATAAAATTAATAATAATATTCATAAACTTCATAATTTGTTTACTGTAAAAACATATCGAAATGATTTAATACATGATTGATATGTACAAAGAATATTATGTTTATTTACATTTAAGATTTATGTTAAAATAAAAAGAAACCAAATAAAATAACACTGATCGTCGTTCTTGAACTTATTCGTTTCGGCATCTTGTTTGATATTTCAAGATAACTGTCACGTGATGCATATAAATACGAGTGTATAGATATGAATGTCTGAACTTTATTTATTTATTTGCACATGATGATAGTTAATAGATTGATTCACAATCGGTCCGTAATTTCTATTTTTTTTGAAAAACGAAGACTCTTATGAAAAGCATCACATATCCTAGAACAATGTACCTTATGCATTAATGTGAATATCATTACTAGGGTGTATAACACAAACAGCAGATGAAAACGAGTTTTCATATGTGTACTAATTGCTTTTCATTTTCATCGAACTGATAAGCTTTAATGTAATTGATTTTTTATTTTCTAAAATTTGTGCATAAGATGATTGATTTTTTTTTTGTAGAACACAATCTGTAAGAAGTATCGAAGTATAGAGGTAAAAATTTGCCTCCTCCTCAGTGAACAGATAGAAGAAGCTAAATAAAAGAATTCTCTATGTTGTTAATCAAACTTTTTTGAACAAGGCTTTTTTAATAGGAAACAAATATTTGTATTGCACCATATTTAATTTCATATTACATGAAATGCTATTCAACTTGCTTGTTCACTGTGCTTTGTCCTCACAGATGTGATAGACATCTTAGCAAGGATACATCACAGATCGTACAACACACTTCAGTAAAGCCTTTCTCTTTTTTAATCAAAGAACTTGAGGACACCTAATCAACGTCTTTCTTCCGTCATACACTGGGGAAGATACCTTATTGTGGTCACTTCCTTCCTATGAAACGTGGCGAGCATATCCGTGAGACAGAGGCCTGTTTCAGAATTATTATGAAACATGGCTAAATTGAAGATAACTGTCCATTATCTTTCTTTCTTATTCACTGTAACACATCACGATTAACATCTATCATGATCAATATGCATTAACAGTAAGTGGCAATTTATAAACGGAAACATGTTAATGAATTCATTCTGTTACAATGACAACAGTTCTGTAGTGTTTCAAATTTTTATCTCGTTGGTATTGCACTGACAGCTTTTTATATTTGTACATATTTTGATTATAGGCTTTGATGTAAGTCAAATCATATAATAGTTAAGAGAAGACAAATAGTTTATAGTGTAAAAACCAAAAAAATATGTGTTTTCCTGAATCTTTATTCATTTAGTTTTGTTTATAATAATTTGAACATGTATATGTGGTTCAATAGAACAATAAATCGAAGACAATTTTGTTTTGTTTCTTCAGTAGGAACTTTGTTGTACTATTGTTTTCTATAATTCGAAGGTGTTTTTTTTTACTTAGTTCATCAGATAGCATGCAGGAAAAAACCAACCGACAATCTGCACTGTCGTTCCAGGATTCGTCAGATCTCTATAGATATCTTTTAGTGGAAATCATTGTCCTATATTTTTCCTATAAAGTTATAGAAAATTCTATATAAATGATACATTTGAATTCCTATATTTCAATAGAATGACTCTACGGAGCCAGTTAATCGATAGTTGAGTTCAATTCAATATAATGTGCCAATTGTGTGTCAATATCCATTAAGTGTAAATATTGAATAGAAGAAGTACCTCTATTGACTAATCAGTGAATCGAATTGAAGTTGCTTTTTTAGAAAGTATCCAAAGACAATATTATAATAGCAGCGGAAATCAACAAACGAGGAAAAAATTATTAGTTCCATCTGATGAATATAAAGAAGACGACTTATAATAATTGGCGAGAATTGTAACTTCAATAGATTGTTTTTATTATCTGTTTCTCTTTTCTCTTCCTGATGATGATGAACATATCAGATTTATAACACTGCTATGCATTTTTTTGTCTTTAATTATTGTTCATGTTCTCCTTGCTGTCTTTTTGTATTTCACCTAATTTTGTTGTACACTTTTTGTGTAGCTTGTTAAAAGGTTGAAGTAAAAATAAAATAACAATGCAAAGAAAATTAGCTTTTCGGTCTCAAGCAATAACGACACTTAACCTATGTTTTCGATTACGATCAAACTACAACACAGTTGCTAAAGACGACAATATAGATGAGCTTTTCATTTTGTTCATATTTTTATTATGAATTACTAATAACTTTTAAGATTTTCCATAAAACTTGACTAAAAATAATCATAATAAACAATAAACGAAAAATTTAAAAGATTTAAAAAAACAATAAAATTAATAAATAGAAAGATTAAGAAATTTAAAAAATCTAAAAATATCTGAAAAAATTTTAAAAATTAGAAAAACAAAATAATCTGGAAAAAAAATACAAAAATACAAAAAAAAATTTTTAAAGCCTAAACAACTAAACAAATTAGAAGACTAAATAAAAAATTTTAAAAATCTAAAAAAACTTAAAAAATTCTAAAAAATAAAAAAATTAGAAAAATTGAAAAAATATTAATACTCATAAAAATATCAATAATAATAGGCATCTGACTTCGGATTTGAATTCATGACTCTCAACAACCCCAAGGACCTGTTCTGATTCCAAAAACGGTGGATTCAGACTGCATACTTTATCAGTTGTAGCAGAATAAAAAAATGAACTGTACTCTCCCAAAGACTTCCTTTTAATTATACGGTCGTCTGTGGCTAAGTCCTAACGCTAGAGTGTGGCTCATTACCAATAAGATGGAACCTTCTTTGATTGGTTGGTATCAAATATATTGGATCGTATGATACGAGTAATGCGGTGCAGTTGTGTTTATCTGCGTCGCAGTAATCCTCGTCTTTGCAGTGGTTTTGACTACAACCAACGCGCTGCAGTAACGATCGAAATTTCGCAGTTACATGCAGCTGCGACGCAGTTGTTAAAAAAGAGGCGACATGGAGAAATCACAAGAATCAGGCTAGAAATTCAATAAGAGTCTTCTCTGAAGAAACATTTTTGCCTCCTCAGGCAATATTCAGTCTACATAATTCTTGTCAAAAAGTCAAGGTCGGTTTTTTCAGGCAAGAATAGATCCATGTACGTTCATTAGTGAAGAGTACTATACTTCCGACAAAAAAAAACAATATTTCAAGTAAATTTTAATCAATATTAGTCTTGTATGATGACGTAGAACAAATATTTATTCTTATTTACGTTAATTTAAAAATAAAAAAAAAAAACATTTAGCTAAATGATTTGAAAGTCTGTAATTAAGTTTTTTATTCACAAGAAAGCATTTAAAATATTTATTTTTCACTGCAACAAAATAATAAAGAAAGTAGTTTTTCATTACAATAATTTATATTGAAAAGGAACAAAAAAAAACAAGCTCAACATGAAATACATTTCATAGCTTTGTGTTTCACACTGTTTGTCCAAGATTATACTATACATTTCATGGATTCATAATTTCTATAGTTTATTGATTATCATTCATTTAATGAAACATTTCATGAAAATATTGCTTTGAGCACATCATTTTTATATATTTAATTAAAATTCAGTAATTCTTATACAACAAAATGATGTTGTCATACACATCAATCATTTTCTATCCTATTCTGAATATCATTTTAGTATATACAAATATATATATATATTTATTTATTTATTTATTTCATTAATAGTCAATAGCTGACTGTTTTACTGATTGCACTAAAAAGTATTTATTTTCGGAATATTGTTTTTAATGGTATTTATATATTTTGTTATTATTATTCATTGGCCTTGAAATGAGTGATAAATATAGACTGTAATAATTGATTCAGCATTGCTGTAAATCTGATAAAACAGAGAGAAAGCAAATACAAATGTGTTTCAATTCACACGATCGCTGGAGAAAACGACAAAATAATTTATCTGTTTGGTTATTCGATCACTCTACAAAAAAAAAGAAGTGGTTAAGCCTCTCCATATTTTAATTTATAGTCCTCGTCATATGTTTTTTCTTTGTGCACATAAATGAAAGCAAAAAAACACACTAATACCATTCGATTGGACGACAATTGGTTGAAAATATATCTCTGTTAATGCTTTCTTTCGTTTAGATCAAAAAGTGCCACACATTCGTTTTCTTTCTTTTATCGAGGTATATTGTTATTTTCTTCATCTTTCTTCGACGATATAGATGCGTTGTTCATTGTCACTAAATTCTATCTATCTTTCTTTCTTTCTTCATTTTAGATTGTACGTTAGTTTTAGAATACAATATAGATTGAAATTTTTGTTAATCAATTAACAAAACAATGCGTTTGATTAAGTCTCTTTTTCTTGTATTTTTGGTGTTATATTTTATTGCCGGTCTTTCACTTCTTATTACCGGTAGTGTTGCTCATCGACATGCTGCACAATGTAAGTTTTTATTTGATTTAAAAATAATTTCATTTTTATAATGAATGATTTTAGATGCCGAAATTACTGGTAATTCGATTATGTCTGGTGCTGGTTTTATTATTGCATTAGGTGTTTTTATTATTATCTTATCAGTTCTTGGTAAATCACTTTTATTTCGTATCTGAAAAAAAAAACTATGATTAAATGTATTTTTTTTTCTTTGATTCTATTAGGTTTTCTTGGAGCATTTAATAATCGTTTAGGATTATTACAACTTTTTATTGGTTCATTAGCGTTAATTATATTACTTCAATTCATTGCTGCTATTGTTGGATTTACGCTTCGTAACAAGGCTGATGCTACATTAAAGAATAAATTATATAGTTCATTAACAGCATATACACCAGAAAATTATGAGGTTGTAACAGAATGGGATCGTCTTCAACGACAATGGTCATGTTGTGGTGTGGATAGTTCGGAAGATTGGATACAGAGAGCTAGACTTAGTAAAGTGCCGGATTCATGTTGTCTTAAAATTGATTGTCAACCAGTTACAGAAAATGGAACGGTTCATTTTAATCAAGGTTGTTATGAATCAGCTCGTAATTTATTCTTTCGATATTCTAAAGCCTTAGGTGGAGTTTCACTCTTCTTCTTCTTTGTTGAAATTGCTGGAATGGTATTGGCTATTATGCTCTTACGAGATTTGAAGAATAATTATGGAAGTGTTTAAAAACAACAAGACAACATTGATTTAAACTTTTATTTTTCATTCATTAGTTGTATTGTTCGTCGTTTGGTTTTTTTGTTTCTTTTTTCGTCTTTTAAAGAAGAAGTTTCTGAAAGATTATATTTATTAAAATTGTTCTAATTGAGATTTTAAAGAAATAATATTTTCATTTTGATCACTCATTTCTATTGAATCAATATCAATTGTTGGTTCATTTGGTTTAGCAAAATGATAATAAATTATAAGAGTACTTATTATCATAAGACTAAAAAGAAATATTTCGCCAAGAATAATAGTTAATACAGCAATACTTGTTTCATTCATTTTTCTTTTTTTTATTTAATTATCAATAACGCGCTCATTTTATTCAATCAAATATTCATCATTCAATGAACTAAACAAAAAAGAAAAAAAGAATGTTTGTAAATATTGATTAACGATTAAAATAGAAACAAATATTTGATATGATTTTTATTTTGTTTTATTAGTGATAATTTAGAATAATATTTGAAGATTTTGATTTAAAGTTACAAGAGAATGATATAAAAAAGAAAAAGAAGAGTTTAATGATTGATCTATATTTATTATTATTATTATTCTATGATGTCATTTAAATGAATTTTTATCACATAGCATTGTTTTAGTTTATAAGGTTTATTTTATGAATAAAGATCTTATCAAAACAAAAAAAATAATTACAAAATTATTTCAAGAATAAAAATGCTTTCTTAACAAATTGAAAATTATTTGTAATAATAATATTCTACCTTCTTATATTGTAAAATAAAAAGAGAAAATAGATATTAGTAGGGTAAACCTTTTTATTAAACCCTTTGTCCTATTTAAGAAACGTCTTCTTACTGAAATTCTACCCTATCTAAAGGGTATGGTTATCCCACGCAGTTCTAATAGCAAGAAATCTACCGTTTTGTATTGAATAATAATAATAACACGGTAGGTTTGTTAAAATCTCGTTTCGATCTCAGTTGCAAATCATGATAGACATTTCTATTTGTCAAGCTGTGAAAGACAAGAGTTATGAAATTTTTTTTTGTCGATTATCTCCTGTTCAACACATACTGTGACATATAACAAGGGAGATTTTTCTTTTTTTTTTTTTTTTTTTATCAACTCACAAATGTTGAGAGCTGTTATTAAAAATCTTATGTTATTCTTGAGATTTTATATTCAACTTAGTTAAAATTTCATACAATTCAGTGTTTGAACTATTCAGTCAATATAATTTTACTTTTGAATAAAATTATTCACTTTCAGCTAATTTGCAATATGTTTTTTTTCTTATATTATTTTTTTCTTTTACTTTTGTTTTTTAGGTATAAAAATGAAAATTTTTTTAATTAAGAAAAAAAAAAGTATAATGGAATATGAATAATTTTTTAAAAATTGCAGATATATAAAATTCATATAATCTATTGAAGTATATATTAATGTCAAAATAATTAGTTTTAGTAATTTATTTAAAATATAGAAAAGAATTTCATTTCATAAATTTTATATGGCTTTTAAAAAAATAACGACTAACAAATATTGTTTTACATAACGTAGGTACTGAGTAATCGAAGCTCTTTCGAAGATTGGATTGATCCACTTGAAGTTTTCAATCGTCTCTCCAGAAGTAAAAAAATAAAAAAAAGAAATCTGGAAAAAACACTGCTATAAATCAACATAATTTCTATTTTACTACGAAATTATCAGACTAAAATAGAATAACATATCTGCATTAATCTTTCTTTTCTTTTTTTTCATAGAACAAAAAAAAAGACAAACAAAATTTCGATATTTATTCTTCAGAAAGCCAATCAATCATTGTATACCAAATTCGTTCCCATCCATTTTTTTTTGGTCTTGGATAAATATAAATAAAAACATAATAAAGTATAAAACCAATGATTAATAATATCAATAAACGAATTAGAATAAGAAGAGTTGAAAATAATAAAGATTGTAATCGTTGATGATTAGAAGGTATTATTGTACGTCGTTTTCGAAAAGCAGCTGTACTTGTTGATTTAATCACTTTATCAGATTGAATTACACCACTATTATGATTATTTCGATAATAATGATGATGATATTCTGGTTGATTATTGATTAATAAATGTGAATCATCAACTTGTTGAGAACAATCAGATGAACGAACACTGTCATTATTATGACGATGAAAACATGATGTACGATGTTTATTCATTAAAGTAACAAATAATGAAAACGGAACAATTTAATAAACATTTTTATTTTTTATTTTTAGCGCATTGATATTTAACTCATGCAGCAAATAAATTAATGTATTTTTTGTTTTTTTGTTTTTTTTTTTTTCGTTTTATTAATTCTTAAAACTAATTATGAAAACATTATGTTAATGATTATTTTAATATTATGTCTAACAAAACTGAACATGTTCATTATAATTTCAAGACTTTTTATTGATTTTATGATAATGAAATTCTAATATCATGTTATTATATTGATTCTTTTCTTCGAAAGTCATAAAAATAGAAGGACAAACTGGATATAATCGTAGATGTATGAAAAGTAAATTCACATCATGTCTTCTTTTTACGCAGTTTATGCATTATATTTGATCGATTCATAAAGAAAGTTACTGAGCGTGATACAGTCTCGTATGGATAATTAAACAAAATCATACAAGTGTCGAGTAGACAAATGAGATGGTACTCTTATTATTCTCTTTATGTAAACATACAAGTTGTCGTTGTTCATATATTTTTTCATCAACGAATAAATGAAAGTTGATTATGAATATTTGAACAGCTAGCCGAATTTCTCGATATGTGTAAGGGCAAGCAAGCAAAAAAAAAAACAAAGAAAAGAAAAAAAGAAAAGATGATGTAAAATTACGAGCCCAAGTTACTATTGTTGCCGTCCTAGAATTTCACTTTTTTCCTCATTTCTCAATCATTCATTTGAAAGAAAGAGAAAAGAGCACGTAATATTCTTTCTCAGGTTGCATCATTGTGAAGGCTGATGATTGTTCATTATCAGGTAGGTTCAACATTTATACAGAACGTGCGCGAAAAAGCGAGAGAGAGTTCGTTTTTATGTAAATATATACATAATTCTTTTTCGTTAGTCATCATCATCATCATCATCACAAGAGTTTTTTGTCTCAAGTAACGTTTGCTTGTGTGATGAAAAATGAAATCATATATACTTTTTTTTCTCTCTCTCTCTCTCTCTCTCTCTCTCCCTCTCTTTCTTTCTTTTTTCTTTTTTGAAAGAAAGTGCAAATGTGTTTATTAAACAGACAAGAATAAGTTCTAAGAATAGATGACACTTATTTACTCATTGAAGATTTAACATAATAGAGTATAATCAATTTCAATTCAGAAGATAAGTGAAACCAATGATTTATGATTTTTATATTATTCATTTTTGATATTGATGTCAATAGCAGGTAGTCTTCCGTTGATTTTCATCATCATTTTCATTGTATGTAAAAACCGCAGGCAACAACGTCTTTTTTTCTTCTTCTTTTCATTTCTTTTATATCGGCTTTATTTTTTTAAGAATGTGTTGTTCTTCTTTTTTTTTTACCGTATGGTTTGTTTGTTGCATCTTATAAATACTCATACACATCCCATCATCGATCTCATCAGAACGAGAGTTAGAGAGAGAACATATACGTTCGACAAGAAGAATAAGAAAGGCTTGAAATTTTATTCTCTCTCTCGCTCTCATTTTGTGTGCATCGAAAGAAAGCAGAAAGAATTTCGATTCTTTCACTCATACATTCACCTAAAATTATTCTGTGTCCGTTTCACTTCATCTAAGTTAATGTAAAAAAACAAGAATAGAAGAAACAAAGACGTAAAGCCGAGAGCTCATCTGACCATGATGAGAAAAAGGTAGCGTGTGTACGTGCTTGTTTAAAATCTAGAACTAGTTCAAATAATTGATTTCATGCAATCATGCCTTATAGATATTTCCGATAGTGTGAGCTTTTTTTTCTGTTGTTACCTTTTTTTTTTTTTTCTTTTTCTTCTTCGTCTTCATTCTCTTCATCTTATTCTCGTATTGCTTGCTAATGTTTCCGACGAGAATGACAAAAACGGGTGCAATAATTGCTTCTCGATGCGTGTGTGTGCGCATTTAGAAAAACTCAAGGTCATTTTTTTTTTCTTACAGTCTTTTCTTTTCTCAGTCTATATGTTCAGCAACTGATTATGTAGAATAAAGACGCGTTAGAAATTTATGACATTACGTTATAGATTCCATACATATTAAGTAATATATTTAAATCATTTGGTAAGTCGCTATTTCTTGATTTTGCATGATACTTCATTCATCAACACACAAAGAAAAATAAAAAAACTTGACATCATATGAAAGAGGTGAGAATCAAGTTACTTCATTAATCTGTCCTTGAAGAAGAAGAAAAAAAAAAGAGAAAACTTGTTCAATTCACATATGCGTAAAATGCAAGCTAGTGGCACTGCCTGTCATTCATTAAATGAGATCGACAAAGAAAATGAAAAAAAAAAAAAAACATATTATGACATCAAGACAGAAACGTATTCATCCTTGAACAAAAGAAAGAATCTAATAAAATTGAAAAAGCAATTTAACTCTTGAAAAACAGCAGGCGAATGCAACTATAGCTATGCAATGATATTTACAAAACATATTTCCATTTTATTTAACTGAGGAAAAATAAGTTTTCTTCTCGTTTTTTTTTTCTTGATTGATTTACTAGTTGAAAAAAAAAAAAGAAAAAATTTTTTTATTGTAGACAAAATTGTACATCGTCGATGACACAGTGTCCAATCCAACGAAATGTTTATACGTTGGTATCATCAAATAATTCAATGAATAAAACAATTGAAACAACAAATGTTTTAACAGCACATAATACAAATACACCATCACGTATTTCAACAACAACATTTAATATTTTTGATGATAGTTTAACAAATCTTTCATGGTTACATGATATAAATATATTAAAACGAACTATTCCAACAATAAATTTATCATCAAATTGTTCAACATCATCAAATAATTTAGGAAATAATATAATTAGTAACAAACGTAAAGAACAATCTTTATCTAATATTTCTATAATTCTATCTTCATCAAATATTGGTGCTGTCTATCCTAATGATATTGATGATGATAATGAATTAACATTAAATAATGATGATGATGATGAACAATGGAAAATTTATAAAACAAATCCTCAAGCAAAACCGGTTTATTCATATTCTCAACTTATTTTTTTGGCTATGAGACAATCAGGTCATGAAAAAATGACATTACAAATGATTTATGAGTGGATTGCAGATAATTTTCCTTATTTTAAAAAAATGGAACCAACTTGGCAGGTATTTTTAAATTATATGTATGAATTATTAAACATTTAAAAGGATGAAAAAATTTTGTTTTTCTAAATGTTATGAGAAAAAAACATAGTAACGAACACTTCAGTTATTTTGTTTAATGAAAAACGTTAGTGAAATGAAGAAAAAAAAAAGAAAACGGGGAAATGATTAATATTCACCCGACAGGAAATAAGAACACTATGCTTTTCCTTTGACCTTGTTTAACTTCCTTATAACTTTTTCTTTCCTATTCTGATTAAAAAAGAACATAAAGAAATATTTAATTATTTATATTCTATGATTATTTAAAATTTTTTTTTCTATAGAATTCTATTCGTCATAATTTATCATTAAACAAATGTTTTATTAAAGTTCCACGTACAAAAAAAGAAACTGGAGGTAAAGGTGGATTTTGGAAATTATCTCCAGGTTATGAACGACAACGTTCACAAAATAAAATTTCAATAAATAATCAACAAGATCGACAAATAAATTCATCACAAAATAAACGTATACGTACATCAAAACGATCAACAAATAATTCTGATACTATTACACAATTAAATAATGGTATTAAAACTGAATCATGGATTGATTCAATTCTTCCATGTATTTCATCAAAAAATCAATTATCTCTTCAATGTCATACAACAAATACTGATCGTTCATCATCATATGTTCGAATGCCAAGTAGTTTTCTTTCTCCAATATCATCACCAGATTCATTAACAATTCCATCATTTTATCATCAACAACAAATAAATGATTTTTCATCTGTTTCAACTCCATCACCATCAAGTTCACCATCATCAATGTCATCAACTATAATAAAACAAAATTTAATTTCAACAAAATTAGATGATACAGATATGCTTTTATTAGATTCAGTTACATTTGATTGGGATGCTTATTTATGTGAAGTACCAAATGATATTGATGTTCAACCACTTTTATCAACAAAAACTGAACAAGATTTATTTAATGATTTTAATGCAGCATTATCAGATTTAACGTATTCAGCTGAAGCAGCAGCAGCCGGTGGTGATCCAAGTGCATTTGATGGTTTTGATTATTCAACTAAACATTCAACATTTAATTCGTTATTTGACGATGACGTACAACAACAACAACAACAACAACAGTCTCTTACTATAAAAGGCCGCGGAATTAAACGACCATCATGGTGGCTTTCAAATGAAAGCGTAACTCCAACAAAGTTACCATCACTTGAAACAGCGTTTGATTTAAAATTATCTAAATAACCACAAAAAAAGGTTTGTTTATTGTATATATATGTTTGTGTAGGGTCTTCCTTTTTTTGTTTTTGTTTGTGGAATGTTTTTGTTTTTTTTTTTTCGTTGCTTTTCTTCTTCCGTCCAGCATTATTTCCTTAATGTTTTTTATTTGTGCATGTTTGAAGCATTTCTCTTCGAAAATTATCTGTGTGACACACACCATTTGCAATTATTCCATCCACAAAATAATATTATAATTAGTTTGAATATTCTTATCTTTTTTTGTTTCTTGTGTTTATCACTGTGATTTTAAACAGTTTCAACCGTCCATTATTATCATTTTATGTGTGTGTGTGTGTGTGTGTGTGTATTTTGTTTCGTTTTTCAAGATCAAAATTATATTGAAAAAAATAATAATAATAAAAAAATTGTTGTTTCTTTTCTTTTTTTGTATATGATTTATTTAAAACTTACAAAAAAAAAAGAAAACATGAAAGAAAAAGCAAAATATCATAAACATGAAAAACTATAATGTTTGTTAAATAAATGAAGAAATGAAAAATTATGAAAGCATGAAAAAAAAAATGATATTTGTTCAATGAAGTGTATTGTACTAGAAAATTTATAAAGTCAATTAAAAATGTAAAAATAATTCAGGGTTGTTACATTATTTTTTGAAAAAAAAAACAACGTCAAAAATCTTTTATTCCTTCCTCCTTTCCTATTCGCTTTCACTTTTAATAAGTCAGAATGATTGAGCATGAAACTTCTCACATTTCTATAGATTTATTCTGGCTTTTATTGAATGTAAAAAAAAAAATTTTGTTTTTTTCGAAGGATGACTAGTCTCATAGAGATCTGTCACTTTTGAAAGTTTTGAATAATAATTACTTATGTCATAATAGTTGTTCGAATAGTATTCGATCAACTGGAGAAGGTTAGCTGTGATTCTTCGGCTTAAAATTTTTTGTGTATTTTATTGATTTGAATATGTTTTAATCGTTTAAAAAATGTCAGTTTTAAGTGGAAACTATGCAAGTGAGCTCAGATAACAGGCATCAGTCATGTCGACTAGTTTCGTTGAGTTCATGCATTTTCTTGCTTGTTAAAGATCGCGTTATTAAAACAATTATGACTTAATAATATAAATTAAAAGCTAAAACTGCAATGTCATGTAACATCATCTATAATGATATATTAAAATCGCCTTTTTTTTTTAAGTAGAAATCGATGTAGTCAATATTAGATCGGTAAAACAAAACCATTAAACTGCTTGAATCAAAAACAGATGACATGGATATATGAGCTGTCATATTTTCTTTCGTAAATCTAATATTAAAATTAATAGTATAGATTGACCCAGTTTTTTTAATATTTCATATAACAATATCATTATCATGTTTACCGATAATTTTTCTCTTACATTATCAAGGATAAAAACAAGTGTGATAGTCATGATTGTCATATCACATAAGCAACTTTTGCTATTTTAGTTGGATTATATTGTATTTAAAACACCAAAGCAATACTAAAAATTTTGAAAATAAAAAATTATTCTAGATTAAGTTTTTTAAATCTAAATGATTTTTTTTTAGAAAAAATCTCTGATTATTTTTATCGAAACATCTATAAGAAAGTAATCATTTTAGGCGTATTGTAAAAGTTAATATTGATCATTTTTAAATCAAGTTCGGTGGATGTTTCACATAATTTTTTTTGAAAAACTATCATCCGACAAATAAAAGTTTTAAAATCTACAGTTATCAAACGTAGTATCGGATGAAAATCTTATCGAGAGAAAAAATGATGATCATGACTTTTTTTCCAAAGAAGAGAGGACAAAATTGCATGCATATTTTATGTAGAATCATATACAATACTTCAGTTGAATTAGCAGTTTGACTGATGATGTAATGAAGGATAAAACATGCATTCTCTTCTTTTATATCTGATTTAATCAAATGCTATAAGCTAGTTTAAAATCATTCATTCTACTAGAAAGCTTCATACATATGACGAGTATCAATATCTTGACAGATTCCATGCTGAAGGGTAAACTAAAAGTATTTCTAGCTAAAATACATTATCCAATTCAAATAGATAAAATAATTAATTAAATCTTTTCTCTCAACTGAAGTGATATAGTTTTCTTTCAAAGAAAACTTTATCAAAGTCTTTAACTTGACGTATATTTGAAAAAAGACTTGCATACATAAGAGTATCATTTTAAATTTTGATCTTTAAGAAATTTTTGAACGCTAAGTATTCGAGGCAGAAACATTTTTATGGACATCCAATCCAATATAAATGCAAAGTTACATCCTAAGTCTCACTGCACTATTGCAAAATAGATTTCTAAGAGAGAGTGCTTATAAAATGATCAGATTTTAGTTGATAACTTTACCAATAAACTGAAAATCAAATTCGAAAAGTACAAATATTTTATTACGTATCCAAGTAGAAAACGACTGTAAACTAGCGGCCTCACTAAACTATCATTAAAGTTTTTTTTATTTTTTTCGTATATTTATATTTAAATCAAATAATCTATCAAAGAATATATTCTTTTATTTATTATCTTATTCATTTAATTATACTTTCTTGATATATTTCTGTTGCTAAGAAACAAATGTAAATCAATGTTTTATGATGGTTATTAATAATTTGTTTCTCATAACATTGTTCATTTGTGTTGTTTTTCTAATAGAAATTTAACAAAAATGGTTGTCGGACAAAATGGTGCACATCAACAAGAAGAATCCGTATATAATTTAATACCACGTGTACAAGTTCAGGCACCAAAAGCACCTCGGTAGAATATTTTATTTTTCTATTATCTATTTAATTTTATGAATGTTTTCATTAGTTACGAATCAAAATTTAAATCAAATGTTCGTGAATCATTCAAAGATGGTAAACGTGAACATCGAACAATGGGTTATGCTGAAGAACCATTACCTGATCCACAACAATTTCTTAAAAAAAAACAAACTGATAGCAAAACAGTTGCTCAGCCGGCAGGTAACTTTTATTTTTTAAAAATTATCTTCAAATATTTATTAAAATATTTTGTTTTTTTTTCTTGTATTAGCAAAAGATACATCATCAAATAAAGATGGTCCTCAACGTAAACCACCTGTTCCAAGTATTCGTGATGCACCTAAAATGGGTGCAAGAACAGAAAAAAATTTTGTTCAAACAAATGCTCTTGATGTTGTTATGACAGTACCAAAAAAACCGGAAAGAAATGTTGTTGATGATCGATTTGGAGATAAATATCCTATAGATCAAAGTGGTTTAACACCAAAATATATATTTAAAAAAGTATTTATTTTGATTTATTATTATTAATTTTTATGTTTAATCTTTTTTTTTTTTTTTTTTATATTTTAGAATTTTGGTGAAACACCAGTTTATATAAAATCTCGTCGAGATGAAATGGAAAAAGCTAAACAAGAATATCAAACTTATGTTTCAGATTATTTTCGTCGTGGAGCAATGCGTGAAATGGATGATAATGAACGACAAACAATTATTGATGGTTTGTTTTCAATGTATTATTCTTCATAACTTATCCTTGTTTTTTTTTTTCAAACAACAAAAAAAAAAAATAATAGGTTTGAAAAAACAATGGGAAGATGTTCATCATGAATATCAAACACTGTCGGTTATTATTGATACAATTCCTAAACGACAACATAAAGAACGTCTTGAACATCAAATGCAACTACTTGAAAAAGATATTGATTTACTTGAAAAACATCAAGTTATTTATATTGCAGATTAAATAAACTCGTGTTTTTTTTCTTCTTTTTTTTTCTATCTTTTGCTTATTTTAATCAGAAAAAAAATAAAGAAATATCAATTTATAATGTATATTCGTTTTCATTCTTAAATAAGAAAAAGCAAACGTGATTATCTTCCTCGTTTGTTTTTCCTAAATTACCAAAATCTAAGATTACTTAGTCAGATATTATGTTGTTTTAGTTACACAATGCTATCTTCTGTCATGTAGCTCCTAATGAGCTATGAATACTCTGAAAAAACTTCTGACCACTAGTTTATCCCTGTCGGGGTATTGCATTTTTACGGTAAGTTTTGGTGGAATACTGTAGTCTCCCTCAGGGACACCAAGAAAACTGAGTTTCGAATTCCGACTTGAAACATTGTATAGAGACAGGTCTTAAAGAGAATAGTCTATTGTGAAAGTTTCAAATCATTTGGTTTTTCCTATCCTAAGATACGACTATGGTAACAGTACGTTTTTAACTTCGTTCATGTGCACCAGTAGATCCTGGTATTCTTATTTCAGGATAGTAGCAACCAAACATATCTGAAACTTTCACAATAAATTATTCTTGTTAAGGCCTGTCTCTGTGCAAAGTTTCAAATTGAAATTTGAAACTCAGTTTTCTTGATATTCCTGAAGTGGAACCACGGTATTCTACTAAAAAATATCACAGAAATGCAATACCTCGGGAGTGATAAACCAATAGCTAGAATTTTTTTCAAAATATTAATAGCTCATTAGGATCTACATGATGCATATAGTTGTGATTCAAAAATGATTTGATACTTAGATATGTTTCCTCGTCAAATAAATGGGTAAACAAGTGAGAACAAATTGATTTCTCTGATTTCTATCAGTAAAAATCAATTTTTATCTGTTCACTACGAATCAATTGGAATAATTAGCAATGCTTAGAAATGAAGAAAAATCACGACAGATAATTAGAAATCAGGGCTTTACTTTTAATGTTATTACTTGAAGTTTTCTATAATTAATGCGGTGCGAAGCACAGCATTTATGTAGTCCTTCGCGAGTTTTTAATGCGGTGCGAAGCACAGCATTTATGTAGTCCTTCGCGAGTTTTTAATGCCCTGCGAAGCAGGAGCATTTATGTAGTCCTTCGCGAGTTTTTTTAATGCGGTGCGAAGCACAGCATTTATGTAGTCCTTCGCGAGTTTTTTTTTTTTTTTTATTTTACTTTCTCGACGTACGCAAAAAAATCGTCATTTTCTGTTCGAATGATCTCGAGAAGGGAAAGTCAGAAAATACTCGTTGGAACGCGAAGTGCAAGTATCAAGATCGAACTCGTACCTGTTTTTGTCAGATGATCGATAGAACCTATA